CGTGGAGCTGCGAACACGCCCGAGCCCATCCTTACCGGTGACAAGCTGTGAACCAGACAGGAAGTTGGGGAAACTCTCCACCAGTAAACATGTGTCTTTTCTTAGGGGGGATGCTGGAACCTCCGTCAGCTTTTTGTCATTGTCTGTTTCTCTGTTGCAGATCTCCCCCTCACTTCCTGTCCGGTAAAAGATCATCCCCAAAACAGGAAGTGAGGGGAGATCTCTCTAATGGAGTCTCGGATAGCAGAAATACTCTTCCTCACTTTATCCAAAGCTAAATAAATATTTTTTGGCTGCAGATTCACTTTGAAATGTTCGTCCGGCAGAATGAGACGATTAACACTTCGCTCCCCCGCTACCTTGTACTGAAGAGGTACCCGCAGGGCCGGTGCTGCCACTAGGCCAGGGATGGCCAAACTCCGGCCCTCCAGCTGTGGGGTGACACAACAAATCCCATGATGCATCTCTCTCCGGGAGTCGTGGCTGTGAGAATCTTGCAAAGCCTCATGGGATTCGTAGTTCCACCCACAGCTGGAGGACCGCAGTTTGGCACTAGGCAAACTAGGCAGCCACCTAGGGCGCAGCCTTAACCACTCAAGGCTGCGCCCTTTTTGGGCAATCATTAAGTATTCCCAATATAACATATTCCTGTCATGGAAGTTATTTATTATTATTATTATACAGGATTTATATCGCTCCAACAGTTTGCGCAGCGCTTTACAATAGAAGGAAGACATTACAATCACAAGATGGTAAGGAGGGTCCTGCCCCTGAGGGCTTACATTCTAAAAGGGGAGGGGCCAGTGATGCATAAGGAGGTCGCTGTGTGGGGATGAATGGTTGAGTGGTTAGGTTGAGGTGGGATCGGCTTCCCTGAAGAGATGAGTCTTTAGGGAACGCCTAAAGGCAGTCAGGGTGGGAGATAGACGGACAGGTTGAGGGAAAGAGTTCCAGAGGATGGGAGAGACTCTAGAGAAGTCCTGGAGGCGAGCATGGGAGGAGTTGACAAGGGAGCTGGAAAGCAGGAGGTCTTGGGAGGAGCGGAGGGGACGGTTAGGGTGATACTTTGAGACGAGGTTGGAGATATAGACGGGGGCGGAGTTGTGGATGGCTTTGTAAGTCACTTGTTTCTTGGTCTCTTCCAGCTCCATAATACTTGTTTGTTCTCTCCGGTAGCTGCAGGATAGAAGGTGGCCGAGGAACGTGCAGATATCAGGATTTGAAGTCCTCCTCCCTTGGATCGTCCGTTCCAGAACCTCCAGATACGGCGCACGCCAGAATCTCACCGGATATCAGACCCGCACGGCAACGTCCCAACATGTGAGAGCTGATTTGCTTCCGGCATGGCTTTCAATTTGTCTTCAAGAGGGAGGCTGACCACCAGGGCTGCTTCACAGAGTGCTGAGATGTCTCCAGGCAAGAAGAACCAGGCGGTGGAGACTGAGCACACCTCAGACTTCCACCGAGCAGACGGTCCAAATGACTTTGTGGAAGTTCGGAGTCCCGGCAAGGATGTTTGTGACTTTAAAAAAGTCCCAGAGATTGAAATCAAATTGGGGTCGAGTGACGAGGAGGAGGACAGATCTGAAGAAGGTTCCACCTGCTCGGTTCCTCCTCAGAACAGGAAAAATGGGCCCAGCGCAGCTTTGAAAGACTTAGCCGCCGTGCCGGGAAAAGGACTCCGCGAGGACGACGGGATCCTCTCTTTAATGACGCGTCCGACCAGGAAGAGGAAATCCACCTCGGAGGTCTGGCAGTTCTTTTCCCGGAGCCCCACCAACATCTGCAGAGCGATATGCGGACTCTGTAAGATGAGCGTCAGCCGAGGAAAGCTGGGGGGCAATTTCGGGACCACGGCTCTGAAACGCCACCTAGAATGCAAGCACCCCCTGGAGTGGGCCCAGCGGAAGTCCATGAGGCTGCAGGCGGCAGAACTGGTGGAAGAAGAAGAGGAAGCTTTTGAGGATGAAGAGGAGAAAGATGAGGCCTACCAAAATCTAGTCGCCGGGGCACCAACCTGCTCGCCCGGAGCGCAGCATGCCGCTCAGAATCGTTTACAGACTCAAGACTTCTCTTATGTATCTTCTCAGGATCCCGGCTCACCAAAAACATACGAGATCATTGATTCCAGCGATGAAGAGGAGGACAGAGGGGGCCACCTTCTAGGAGAACCTGATGAAGGAACTGACAGCAAAAGGAAGAGATCGGAGGAGTTTCATAAGATTATCTTCCCCGGCGGCAGTTTCACCATTGAGACAGAGAACCCTCCTGGTGCTTCCCACGGCCTGGAGAACGCGCAGCCATCAAGTTCCTCAACTTTCAGGATCCCCGACTACTCCGCGGTGCCTCTAGGGGCTCGGCGACGGAAATCCATCTCTGCCGTGTGGCAGTTTTTCTGCCTCGACCGCACGAACATCTGCAGAGCCATCTGCACATTATGCCAGACGAGCGTCAGCCGCGGCAAAATGGGCGGACATTTCGGTACCTCGGCGTTAATGAGGCATCTGGAGGGAAAGCATCCCATGGAGTGGGGGAGGGGGAAGTTTAACAAACTGCATATCGCCAACGCCATAGAGGTGGAGGATGAGGACGATGAGGAGATGGATGAGTCGGTGGCATATCCTGACGTTCCTTACGGCAATTTTGGACCTGCAGATCTCTCCTTGTATTCGGATATGCCGGATGCCATGAGCCAAATGCATTATCACATGCCAATGGAGTACAACATCGAGAGTGAGGAGCCGTTGATGGACGGTAGTAATGTCTCCTCGCCAATGTCTCTTCCGTCCTTTAAAGGAACTCTTATGGCGCCAACAAACATCAAGATGAAGCTCGGTGGAAGGTACCCGCCAAACCATCCGAAAGCCCAGGCGTGGAACAGGAACATCACCGAACTCATATGCGAGATGGCCCTCCCCCACTCGTTCATCGGCTCCAAGGCCTTCCAAAAATTCATGGCCAGAGCCGACTTGCAATACACCGTCCCCACCAGATCCTTCTTTTCCAAGAGAGCCGTCCCTCAGGTCTACGAAGCCGTGTGCGAGAACATAGCGAGCGAGCTGAAGAGGTCAGCGTGCCCTTACATCCACATAACCGCCCACGTGTGGAGCGCCGACCTCACGGCGTACTATCTGTCGCTGACGGCGCACTGGTCAGTGATGGACCCAGACGCCGACCAGCCTGCCGAGAGGAAGTACGCCCTCCTGTGCATCAAACGTTTTCCAAAAGAGTTGACCGAAGTCAGTATTCAGCAAGAGCTGATTCGGCAGGCCAATCTGTGGCTCCTGTCCAACGCTTTGGCTCCCGGCTTCTTCATCTCCAATAGAGACTTCAACCTTGTCCAGGCCATCAAAGGGGCCAACTGCACCTACATCCCCTGCTTCACCCAATCCATCAACCTGCTGGTGAAGGACTTTCTGCAGAACAACCGTTACATCGCCGGCATGCTGGCGGTGGCCAGGAACGTGTGCGGCCATTTCATCCACTCGGCTAGAGCCAGGAGGATCCTCGCCGAGCTACAATACCAAAACAATTTGCCAAAGCAATCTCTCAAACTAGAGACGGTCCCTCACTGGACCTCCACCTTCTACATGCTGCAGAGGCTCCTGGAGCAGCAAAAGGCCGTCCAAGCCTACTTCTTGATGCACAAGGTGGACACGGTGGACATCATTCTAAACCCGAGTCACTGGAACCTCATGCTGTCCCTGGTGGACCTCCTGCAGCCCTTTGAGATGACCACGCGTGAGGTCAATTCTAGTTCCTCGTGCCTCAGCCAGGTGCTGCCGGAACTCCGTTACCTCCACATCTTCCTGAAGAAAATCAGAGGACACTTCGAGAGCACCGGCGATACCAACGGAGTCGTCATAGCCGACAGCCTTGCCCTCAAACTTTCCACGGATTACGGGGTCAGCGAAATGTTCCAGAAGGAAGAATATGTTCTGGCCACGTTGCTCGACCCACGATTCAAGGGGAGGATCGAGGCCATACTGCCACCAGACTCCGACATTGACCACTGGAAGCAGGTCTTGGTGAAGAAGGTCAAGGAGGTCATGTCTTCCTCCAGCTCGTCAGCTCAGGGGAGCCGGACGTCCTGCCAGTTCAGGGACAACGGCACCGCAGAGCCGGAGCTGTTCTCCGGCAAGCTGGCCGGCGCGGAGGTGGGCGGGCCCCCTTGGAGGAGAAGCATGGCCGCGGCTCCTTTAATCCACAAGGAGAAGTCTTTAATTGAACACTTGGAGAGCGTCGGCCTCCTGGCGTCCAAGTCCACGGGGGCCTCCTTGTCCACGGAGAGCCACTCGGCGTGCGTCATGGTGGAGAAGTACCTCCAGGACAATAAGACCATCGGCGCCAAAGACGACCCTCTGACCTACTGGCAGAAGAGGACGTGGCTGTGGCCGGCCCTCACCAAGCTGGCCGTCACCTACCTGACTTGCCCGTCCTCCAGCGTTTTTGCCGAGCGGGTCTTCGGCTCCCCTCAGGTGTTCGCGGGCAAGCCGAGCTCCTCGGAGGCCGCGGAGGGGACGGAGCGCAGCGCCTTCCTGAAAGTCAACCTGGAGAACTTCCCCAACTACAACCCCCCTCCCCTCATCTTCTCCTCCGACAATGCGGCCGAGCAGAGCGACTCCGACGACGGAGGACTGTGACGTGGACTGTGATTGGTGGGTTGGGGGAAATAATTTGCATATCCTGTTTATGATCTTTGATGGTGTCACGCGCGCGCAGGCTCTCGGAGTGTGCCAGGGACGAGGCTCGGTTTGGCGCGGATGAGGATCCCTCGGAGGATACTTCCAGAGCCTGCGCAGCTGCAGCCAGAGAGGCAATAAAACTTCATGTTTCTGCTTTATGATTTGTGACAAAATCCGGAATTATTTACCCCGAAAAAGAGGGAACGACGACGGCACAACAGGTCCGCTATACGGGGCCCCCACTAGGGATTACATTGCGGCCCCCACTAGGGATTACATTTGGGCCCCCCCACCAC